CAGTGGTTTTGGCTACCGGAAGCTATGATCACACCATTCGGTTCTGGGAAGCAAAGAGCGGCCGCTGCTATCGGACTATCCAATACCCTGAATCTGTATGCCTCAAAATCTATCAGCTTTATATGTGTCTATATGTATATGTTTGTTTGTGTGTGTGTGTGTGTGTGTGTGTGTGCGTGGTTTTCTCTAATTGAGTGTATTAGAAACGGGGGAAGAGAGTGCGGTCCCACCAGATGAAGGCGCACCATAATAGGGTGAGCCTAGATACACCTTAGTGAGGTTCCATCCCAAAACCAATTGGTGATGGGAGGAGTAGCCCACTAGGCTTATATACTAGACTCATTTTCCCTGTAGAATCAATGTGGGACACTCACAAGTGATATTCCAACAGAGTGATCGAAAATCTGAAATGTGAGTGTAGTTGGTACTAGCATGATTTGAAATCTTGATAGTGTAAACAGAAAGTTTAAATCTTTTATGGATCCAATCATCTTAATATGTGTGTATCATCTTTATATGTGTCTATATGTATATGTTTGTTTGTGTGTGTGCTTGTGGTTTTATCTAATTGAGTGATCGAAAATCTGAAATGTGAGTGTAGTTGGTACTAGCATGATTTGAAATTTTTATAGTGTAAGCAGAAAGTTAAAATCTTTTGTTAATCCAATCATCTTAACATTAGTTTTACCTTAGAATGTACTGATCTTTTTATGCAAAATGTTCATGGAGTAGTTGTTAACCCCACATATACGATGTATTATGCACGTTGTGTTGTGGATGTTAGGATTTTCTATATTATATTTTTAGAGGACACTTTTATTTGTTCTTTTTTCTATGGACAGCAAGTAAACCGACTCGAACTTACCCCAGACAAGCGTTACCTAGCTGCAGCTGGAAATCCTCACATTCGGCTTTTTGATGTCAATTCAAACAACCCTCAGCCAGTATGCTCCCCCTTCTTTTTTTTCTTCTTCTTCTTCTTTTTTTTTTTATTGGATTTTTTCTTTGTTAACGTTATAGTCCCTCCTTTAAGAAAGCTGTAGCCTTTGTTAGGCTCACTTTATACTTATAAGTAATAAGACTAGTCTTTTCTCTTGTTACAGGTGATGAGCTATGATTCACACACCAATAATGTAATGGCTGTTGGATTTCAGTGTGATGGGAATTGGATGTATTCAGGTTCCGAAGACGGTACTGTAAAGATTTGGGATCTGAGGTAAAGAAAGTTATAGAACACCAAGAATATTTACCATTTTGTGTGTGCATATATGTGTGTGTGTGTGTGTGTTTAGGCTGGCATGGAGTGTTGTTATCTACTTTCATTCTCACTTGTACAGGGCACCGGGTTGCCAGAGGGAATATGAAAGTCGTGCAGCAGTCAACACTGTTGTTTTGCATTCAAATCAGGTTGAATGAGCTCGTGTTCTCTTCTAACATGATATGTGTGGTTGAAAAATCAACTGTTTAGGGTGCCATTATGTTGAAATTTGGTGGAAACAATTCTCTTTTTCCTGGTTTTGCTAAGCAATGCTCTTCTTTATTTTTCCCCCCAAAATAATGCTTCTTGTTTTACGGACTGCCCTTTATTTTCCAAATTTAACCAACTTTTTCTTCTTCATTTTCTTGAATGATGCGCCCTTACAAGCACTTTCTTGGTGGTCTTTTCATGTCAAGTGATCTTTTCACTTTCTCTGCATTGGTACTTTACACACTGATTTGATATCCGGGGAATTCTTCTCTATATAGATGCATTCATACTTCATAAGGATTATAAGCACTCTCTTGGTGGCAAGATACATTGTTTGAATAATGAGTCCTCTATTTTCGAACCCATCACGGTATCACGCCATTTTTCATTTTCTGAAAGGAACTAAATGACCCTTCAGATGGTCTTTTTCACTTTCTCTGCATTATGAATTTGCAGACTGAACTGATATCCGGGGACCAAAACGGTAACATACGTGTCTGGGATTTGACAGCCAACTCTTGTAGTTGTGAGTTGGTATGTGTCCTATCTGTTGTTGAACCTCTTGTGCTCTTATGGGTACTGTACTACTATTTTTGCTCTAATGCAAATTTTCTTTTGGTTTATGTAATCTAAAAGTGATGTATAATTTCAGGTCCCAGAGGTGGACACAGCCGTACGTTCGTTGACTGTCATGTGGGATGGGAGTTTAGTAGTCGCGGCAAATAATCGTGGGACATGTTATGTTTGGCGTTTGTTGCCTGGGACCCAAGTAAGACATAAATAAGCTTTTGTGTGTTAGTTTGGCTCATGCTCTAATTTGTTGATACTTCTCATTATGTCTGTTGCAGACTATGACCAACTTCGAGCCATTTCATAAACTCGAGGCACACGATGGCTACATCCTTAAATGTCTTTTCTCCCCAGAGCTCAGTGAACCTAACCGGTTAGGATCCTACAAAAATTGATGTTCTCATCCTTTTTTTTGTAGCTGGTGTTCTATTTTCGGAATAGCTTTGAAATTTAGCCTTTTTTACCAACGAGGGGGATAAAAAAACATGCTATTTTTGTATCTGGGGTGGTAGCTTAGCATTTCTGTGTTTGGTGTCGAAAAATGATGATTTTTCCAGGTACCTTGCAACTGCATCGTCAGACCATACCGTCAAAATATGGAATGTTGATGGTTTTACTTTAGAGAAAACTCTAGTGGGTACGTATTTCGCCCTGCAAGTTGTAAAATTTATATATTTGCTCATCTCCAAATCATTTAATACAAATTAGTCCGGCTGTATTATTGATCTCATCGGCTCATTTTCAGGGCATCAGCGCTGGGTGAGGGACTGTGTTTTCTCCGTAGATGGCGCTTTTATGATCACAGGTATGTTACATGTGATAATTAAGTAATTACCAACATTTTTTTTTTTTTTTCTGTTTCTACCTTTCTTGATCTTTATGAGCTTCAAAACAAATTTTGGCTTATAATACCATATCGTAACATTTGAGGATTTTCCAAAATGCAGCTTCTTCTGACTCGACTGCAAGATTATGGTCGATAGCAGACGGAGAGGAAATAAAAGTTTACAGAGGACATCAGAAAGCAACGGTGTGTTGTGCTCTAAATGATGGCACCGAAATTTCGTGCTGAATATATAAATATTTTGCATAACATTTTACCGGTTTTGGTTTTTTCCCGGTTCGTTCGCAGTATGTTTTCTGTATTTTAGCAGGATTTCGACTCCATTTTCTATACTATGTTCTAGCTGTATATATATTGTGCGTGTTTGAATTATAGGTAAAATTAAGAGGATGATTGGCAAGATTAAATGGGTGGGATGGAAATCATTTGATGTTACAGTGAATGTTCAACAAAGAAGCCCACTACACATTATGCATATCATCAGATTGCAATAGATTTTGATGAGCTATTTGATGCACCCCATTACCTAATCCCAACACAAATTTGAGAAAATAAATCGACATTATTAAAATTAAAGAAATAAAAATAAAAAAAAAAAACTGAGCAGAGACCTAATATATATCACTCTACTCTGCTTTAATGAGACAACTCAATCTCACTATTTTTAGTTAATATAAAAATAGTTCCTGCATGATCCACATTAACCCCGCGTTTGGTTCAAAGGATAGCAACCTGCATGAATCCTGCCAGCCCGGTATTAAAAGTCATGTTATCCTGTGTTAATGGGATAACTCAATCCCACCTTTTTGGTGAGATGTCAATAGGGCTGTAAACGAGCCGAGCCGAGCTCGAGCTTAAGGTGTTCGAGCTCGAGCTCGAGCTCTTAACGAGCCGAGTCGAGCTCGGCTCGTTAAGTAAACGAGCCAAAAATCGAGCTCGAGCTCGGCTTGTTAAGGCCTCGAGCTCGAGCCTTAACGAGCCGATCTCGAGCTTTAACGAGTCGAACTATAAAAAATTACATAAATTTCACTTTTCGAGCCGAGCCGAGCTCGGCTCGTTAACCAAATGAGCTCGAACTCGGCTCGTTAAGGCTTCGAACTCGAGCCGAACCGAGCTTAACTAGCCGAGCCGAGCCAGGTTCATTTAATTTAACAGCACTAGATATCAACTATCCAGGTATGTGTAATACCAAATATGCCCCCATGTTTTTGTTTTTTGATTTAATTGAAAGAGATATAAAAGTATTTTACACCACATACACATTTCTATTTTTTTTTTTTTAATCTAAACATATCCTACCCCTTATCCTATATAACAAACATAACATTAGTCCAATCCCAACATTACAATCATTTAC